GCTGGGTGAGAAGTGTACATTAAACTTTATGGTTAGGAAGGCTATCACATGATTATCCGACCAAGGATACCATGGACTCAGATTCACGTTATACGCAGACCGACACAATAGGGAGAGTCAATATAGAAACCAAACTGCTTTTCGTTCCAAAAAACTGATTATCAGATTTTGCTTTTCGTCACGAAAAGCAGAAGCAGAATTGAATTAGTTTGAGAACGCCAATCAGCAAGCAGATAGTTATAGCCAATCAAAGCGAGAACAATTGATGGCTGCTTGCAAAGTGGAAACGTGTCATGGAGAGGGGCAAGCGAGCCTCAACATCACGGCCCGAGCGTTTGGCCATGCTGGAGTTTCTGCGCATACCCGACAACTTCAATCTATTGACAGGGCAGGCAACAAAAGGTAATGATATGAGAGGAGGGCAGAAGCTGACACGAGCGCATGGACATGCGCGGCTGGCGGAGTACGTCAACGAAGTCCTTCGAGACACTGTGGGCCCTTGGACAACTCAGGACGCTCGATCCAGGTAATCAACCATGCACCCATACCACGTTGAAACCATTTCGACGCAGGTATAATGCCTACGTCAAGTCATATCGACGTGCAGTTCATTGGGGTGGGCCGAACAAGAGTGGCCGAGGATTGACCGACATAGACTTCAAAAAAAGTGAATAAATTGTAAATGTATTCGGCTTACGTGTTTGTAGATATCTTTACGATCGAAAGCAAGTTGGACGCCATTTGCCCATTGCAAAACGAGATGGATGCTCTGTTTGGGGAGCGCCAAAACTTTCGACCGTCGTACATTTTGGAAACAAGTAGTGACCAAGGTAAACATTGACATGCACCTTCCCAAAATATAATTACGTAAACAGAACTAAGTAGAGGAGGAAAGCAGGCATGCAGATTATTCTTCCGTCGACCTTGGCAGCGATGACGAAGACGCCAACCACGACCCGCATGATGCCGCGGACGACCCTGACACCGAGACCTACTGGGCCAGAAACGACGCTGACGATCCCGGTCGCGCCCCGGCCGACGACAACGATCCTGGTCGCGCCCCGGCCGACGACGACGACCCCGGTCACGCCCAGGCACAGCCATCAAAGAGCAGGTCAAAAGCAGTCCTTCCGCGCAAGTTTCCAACGGCAGAAAAGCGGCTGACCCCCCGCAAGGATTTCTCGGCAATCTACATGGACGTACAGAGTCAGGCGACCCAGCTGGAACGCGAGAAGTTTGAGTACATGAAGGCGAACGACAAGGACGCACGTTCAACGGCAGCTGCTCTCAACATACGGCAAGCGAGGGCGTCGCTTGTAGAAAAGCTAGTGGCATCAGGTGTAGTGGACCCGGAAACAATTCGCGAATTAGTTTCAATTGCATTTGAGCAAGATTAAACAAATAGATGTCATGAACGTTTTGTACAATCCCAATGGCATTCATTACTCGTCTAAACCTAGATATTTTAGCAGTTCAGAGTTCAGAGTTCAGACTTTATGTTCTCTCGCCAAATAAGACAGCCGTCAACTACATCAGACTTGCACTCCGTATTGGGTCGCACTTCTTCGACGAACAATGGCACCGTGTCTTCGCCGTTTCGGAGCCGATTTACCACATTGTGTAGGATACAACATGCCAATATCCAGTTGCAGACGGTCTTGACATCTGATGGTCGGCGGATGAAAACTGGTAGACATGACAGGCTTGACCAGCGACCCTTGAGGATACCATTGCCATGCTCGCACACAACCCGGAGACTTGCATGGCCTGTGTTGAACGCGTCGTTGCCACTGGCACTTGAGTAGGGCAGCCGATAGGGGGTGAGCATGCGCATGCCGAGGGGGAACCCAGAGTCACCGGCTTGGTACTGGTTGCTGCTGAAGTACTCGTCGGGTCGAAGGGCCGGAGAAGAGGTTCCCCATATAGTTGAGTCACCCCGCAATGACGTGACGGATTTGGCGCTTGTAGTCAAACGTCAAAAGAACATTCATAGAATATTCCTTCTTTCGACTGTAATATATTCACCATGCAATGCAGGTTTTCTGTATAATACAACATGTGTGCCATCGGTAGACAAAATGCAGTCACGAAATCCATATCGGACTGCATTGTAGTCGGCATGTTGGCTACGCTCATTGCGATTTGGTCAATTAATTTCAGAAGTGGTTAAAGAAAGAAGTGCACGAATAATACGATGTGTATATAGGTGAACTGTCCCTATCCCAATTCCTTTTGCTCGTGACACCATCCCAGCAGACGACCCGGTGCCGTTGTGGCCAAGTCGATGCAGAGCACATGCGAGCTGTACCCAGACCGGTCGCTGAGCTCGGTTGCTCGTTGGTTGAAAGAGATGACTTAGCTCAATCAACTGAACAATGTAGGCAAATGTAGTCTGACAAACACGAACCTCTTGAACAAAGTCACTAACAGCCATGAATGGAAGGATGGAAAGCTGTTCTAATGACCGTGGAATCGACTCACGCGCATACAAGTATCGTGAACAAAATATCATGTATCGCAGTCGAAGGAGCACATCAATTTCCTGCTTCATCGCATGTGACGCACAGGGATTGCATGTAGCAATTGTCCTTATCATGCTGCCCAAGTCAGAAATGACAGCCGCCCGCTCTGAGAGCTGTGGCATTTTCGCGAATGAAAGGCATTTATGCGGATACGGATGCTTGACCATTGTTGGACTGTACAAAACGAAGAATCCTATATTGACTCTCCTTTGATTTTCGCCTTGAACAATAAAATTACGCTGGAATAAAAATATGCTTTTCAAACCGCACGAAAAGCAGAATCAAAACGCAAAATCCTATATTGACTCTCCCTATTTTTTGTGTGTTCCTGTCCTACCTTCTTCGCCTCTGTTCCCAGGGTGGCTTTTGTAGTGACATGCCTTTGGCACTTTTTGGTCTCCGCGAATTTTTCGCTAACTAAGCCCTTTTTTGCCTTTGGCATTGCCTCTCTTTGAGAACTTCGTCTCGAAGGCCTTCAGCAGTCCGTTGCCCAGTGGGGTGGCTGTGAAGAAGGGGCACTTTAGCCGTTCTTGCTTTGGCCTTTTTCGCCGAGGTTCGGTCACTTACGGATAATATCCGGTCATCCGGAATTATCCGGTGTTCACTTTCTGTAGAAACCGGACTGTTTATGCCCAATCATAGGTCATGGGTTCTACGAAGACGTCTTGCGTTGGCTCACGAGAGATGTTTCGTAAATCAGTGGTATTTTTCTATACTTGACGCTGCACACAAAATCCAGCATAAAGGAAAATCGATACTTCTGCTTTACGAAACAAATATTTCGTGACTGCATTGACTAGAAAAACTTTATCACTTTGCAAAAGGTGATGGAGATGACTCTGCAGAGTATGGGAAGGAACGATTACAAGTTCCCTCATATGCGAAAGGTGCTTCCATTATGGACTTGACATTGTTCAATACGCAACAGTGCACGAGAATGCACTTGCATTCATGAATGACACTTATTTTTCCAAGGAGTAGTAATTAAAATATAATATAATGTCATTATATTTTTGTGTTGCAGCTGTAATCTCAAAGGACAATACAAACTTTAAGATATTTTTATGCCCTCAACTATACTTTCACAAAGCGACCTCTTTTCCCGGAACAGAGTACTGGAGTATCAAGATTAGGACTACTTGCTTGCGCCGGCGCATATATACAGGGTTGTTTGGTGTTGTTGTACGGTAGTATAAACAGAACTATACAGGAATACATATTGTACAGATAGCTTGCGAGGGATTAAACAGAGGCGAGCCCTTGTGAACAATCGATCAACGCCTGGCAGGAATATTTTGCAAATCTAGCCAATCAGCGCAATATATTCCAAACAGGAACACCCAAAAGCAAGAACGAATTGTTCGGAGACCACGCACATACCATACATGAAAAAGAATACAAGTACCAGTAAGTACTAACAGTAAATTTACTAGTGCAGTCACTTGTCTGCGGGGAAATTTTAACGCGGATGATGACACTGTACGTCCACCAAGTGATTATATTGCCGTCTGACAAGTGCTTACAATTCGTAGTGAGCCCTTACCTCAACAATAACCACACAAAATCACCAGCACATTAGCACAATTTAGCACATCAGCATGTTTCGCCATCTATGGTAAAGTCCGTCGTACTGTAAGCGTATACGAATTGTACATTCCGACAGAAACAAGTCGAAAATCCTACTGTAGTACTACAGTCGTATTTATATTTTACCCTTTGTTTTAATCACATACAAACACGAATACGATTTCACAGTTTTTAATGCACAAAACCGATGTCCAACACCCAAAGTCGGACTGGATATTGACGTGGACAGAGAGCCGTGACCACATGACGCCCATTTTTACATTCGCACCTTTCAACGCATCATGGCACCCTCCATGCCTCGCAGCATGCAAGCCACGTTGGACGTGGCGCTGACCGTTGGGGCTGCATTCACGTTCGCCACAGCGCTGGCCTTCATGGCGTGGTGCATGTTCGTCGCCCGCAATGCTCATCGGATACATCCAGAAGGCGGCATCATCGGCAAGACGATGCCCCTGTCTCCTCGCTCATGCAAAGACGTCGCAGGCGATGCTAGCTTGAGCCACGGCCACCATCAGCCCACATCCGTTCACGTCAAGTACACACGAGACACGCTGCCCATTGCACGGTCGTATGTCGTTTACACAATCGAGCTCATGTACCCCAGCCACTCGAAAGTCGTGCTGGAGAAGCGATACTCGGAGTTCGACCATCTCGCCATGGAGGTAAAGAAGCACGCGCGGGCCCTCCACGTGGACGTGCACGTGTCCCTGCCTCCCAAGACGCTGCTCTACAACTCGTCCGAATCGTTCCTCGAACATAGACGCCATGGCTTGCAAGAGTTTCTACGATACCTCACCCGCCATCCCGTGTTGTCCCATTTGGTGTGTGTCCGCGAGTTTTGCCGGCTCGACTAGATGGATTCATGTAGAAGAAATACAGTAGTTGTACAGTGAAATATATTTATGGCATGTTGTCCCTATTAAGAGTTGCATGATGCTCACACACACATATACTGTACAGTAGTATTTGCACCTTGAACGATCGATCTACTGTATGGATATGTGGGTATACCGGTATGTATTGAAGAGGTTGTCGCCTATGTGTGAAGGCCGAACGTGGCGGGCGGGCACCTCTACCAGTCATCGCCATGACAGCGATCGAGTGTGACCTTGGCTGCCACCTTCTCGGCTGCACTGGTTTCGTAGTAGATCGCCTCACCGAATGAGGTCATGCCGTCACCTCCACCACCGCCTATTGTACTCGTCGGAAGGTTGGTATCCCATCCTTGGCTCCACTTTCCAATGGCATCGCTACGACTACCATCTTCTGCATGGCCAATCTGTAGTTGTTGCGGAAGTGAGCCATCACAGCCGTTGGTTGTAGCTCGACGACATGTGGATGCATCCATACTTGGAGCATGGCCGCAGGAAAAAGCGTCAAAAGTCAATCAGCTCCACAACACTTGAAATTTGTATACACTGGTACTCACCACATGGACCTTGATAGAGGCACTTATCCAGATAACTTGATAGAAGAACAGTACGTATCATTCCAGGCGTCATTCCCATTTTTCTGCCACCTTAGCCTGCCGGCGCCACCTCCTTCCTCGACCAAGACATAGCATCATGACTGTCCTGACTGGCCCTGTGCGTGTGTTAACTGAACGCGTCATGTCCCGTGGCTTCGAACCGACGGTGTCGCGCATGATGGAGCGCGTACGTGTGTCCTACTTCTCGACCGCGCATCATGACAGTATTTGCTTTGTAGGTGAAGAACACGGTGCGTCGCCAACCCGGCCTCTTGTCCGTACAAACCCTCGCGGACGTTGAGGACCACCACAAGTACATTGTCTTGTCCGAGTGGAAGACCCGCCAGGACTACGAAAACTGGGAAAAGAGCGACGACTTCAAAACGTGCACGGCCAAAGTCAACGAGTGCTTGGACATGCCAGGGAAAAAGACAAGAATCTTTCAAACCCCCAAGGACGACATCTTCCTCCTCTAATATCAAACGCCGTGAGTCATCCCATCCTTGTTTGCCGATGCTGCTCGCACATGCTATGCATGGATGTGTCGCCTTCATTTCCTTTTCACACATCCCATTGTCTCCGAAATACCATCCCTTCGGGGTCGGTATATGCAACAGAATGGACACATATACATCTACATGTTGGGGTACTGTAGCATTGATCTGTATCGTCGTCATCTACTACTGGTCGGTGGAAGGCTTGATGAACTGCTTGATGCGGTCCACGGTCGAGCGCACCGTGTCGGCGAACGTGTGGCTCTTGCACGACGACTGGCCCGTCTCCCCGAGCCGCTGCTCTTCCGTCGCGAATTCCTCCATGAGTTCCTTCTGCCGATCCGACAGCGTGTCTGGCACGTGCACGTTGAGCGTCACGAGCTGGGACCCACGTCGCGACGAGTTGAGTTCCTTGATGCCCTTGCCGCGCATTTTCAGTGTCGTGCCTGGTTGCGTCCCTTTGGGAATCTATCTCGTCACCACCACATATCTCGTCATGAGTCGCGATGTCACGAATGTCGTCGTCATCGCACCGTCATCTCCACTTGGCCCGTCAGCGTCGGCACCACAACCGAGCCCCCGAGGACCGCCTGCGCGATCGAAATCGGCACTTCGCAGCGCACGTCTGACTTGTCGCGCTTGAAGAACGGATCCGGCGCTACCGACACGGCCACGTACAAATGGCCAGCTGGTCCACCTGTTTTCGATATATTATTGAAGGTCTTTACTGAATTTAAATGAAAAGTCTCATTTATTATTAAAAAAACACTCGATTTCTTTCGAAACCAATGCATTTCATGAATATATTTTTTAAAGTTGATACGTTTCGATATTCGAAGCAAGAATAGTCGACTAGTGTAAAGTAGTCGATATATTCGAAATCGCACACAATCGATGATCGACCAATCAAAACCCACAACACAAAGCAAGTAGCCAATCAAATGATCCACTCTTCAACTTCGTTTTTACATACAAAAGTCAATACAAAGAACGGATTCGCGTATAATTAGCACAAAAGTCAACCAAATTAAAGGTAAAAGAAAGATAATCTCGTCTCACGTACCCTTGCTGCCGGCTTCGCCTTGGTTGGCCAGGCGTAGGTTCATGCCGTTGTCGACGCCTTCGGGGATTTTGACTTCGACCGTCCGCGACTTTTTCACTTTGCCGCGGCCCCGACACGTGCCACATGGATTGTCAATTGTGAACCCTATATGTATCAATATTGAAATATATCGATATTACTCTTGATTTCGAAATATAGTATACTAACTATTCTTGGGGATATTTAAGCTTTCAGTCGAAATATTCAAACAACGCAACATTCGACCTGACACGGCTCTGGTGTAATGCATTCATGCTTTCAAGGGCTTATGAATCACGGAATAAATACTGACCATACAAACGCCAAGATCAAAACAGCAAACTATCGACGCATCATCCTTCTTTCTTCTATGATAGTTATATATCTCTATGTTTTGCAATGGGATGTATATACTATAATTCTACTATATACTTCCCATCACAACCACATATACGTATCTATAGTATAAACTTTCCATCACAACAGACAGATAAATATAAATATAGATATATCATGCAATATATACTATATACTATATAAAAAATAGTACATATTTCCCATCACAAAACATTGGAAGTAGTCATATATATACATACACAAAGGGGTCGTCCCACATCAAAGTTACATTGGCACATGGAGATGATGTAAATGATGTGTTGGAAGGAAGTGTAGTTGGTTGGTTACCTTCGCCTCGGCATCGACGACAAGGCTGTTCGACCGCAAAGAAGCCTTGCTGTAGGATTTCCACACCGCTGCCGTTGCAAAATTTGCATTTCTTCGGGGTGGTCCCGGGCTTGGCGCCGCTGCCGCCGCACGGATCGCACGTGACGTCCGTGTACACGTTCAGGTCGCGCGTGGTGCCGTTCACAGCCTCCATGAACGAGATGTTCACGTTAACCTGGACGTCGGCGCCGCGCTCGGGGCGGGGACGGTTGTTGCCACCGCGCCCACGGCCGCCCTGGTGACCAAACATGGACGAAAAGATGTCTTCAAAGCCATGAAAGTCACCATCGCCGCCACCGCCGCCCATGCCGTTGGGATCGACGCCGGCATGTCCGAACGTGTCGTACTTTTGACGCTTCTCTTCGTCCCCGAGGATCTCCCACGCTTCCGTGGCCTCGGCAAACTTCTTGGCCGCGTCCGGGTCCTCCTTGTTCGTGTCGGGGTGAAACTTCTTCGCCATCTCGTAGTACTTCTTCTTGATGTCGTTCTTTGACGCGTCATTCTTCACACCCAGCACCTGGTAATAGTCGCGCTTCGACGCGTCCAGCCGCGACGAACTGTGGAACGGGCGGCGGTGGGATGACGCATTATCCGAGTGGTACGCACGATACTGATGCGGTGGCTTCACCGGGCTAGTGGCCCACGTCGACGAGACAGAGACCTGCATGGTGGTGGTCATGGGATGGTGAATGGAAATGAACGAGCGAGGAATGCGAGCCGCGGCGGCGGCGCGGCGCGCCATTTGTCGTTGAATCATTGTCAAGTGGACTTCTGGTCTTCATTGGTTGGAAATTGCGCACTTTATTGAGTATATTCCCCGTAGGTACGCATAGTATTGATCCATTTAAGTTCGAAGGCACCGAATTTCGAGAAAACGTTTACCGGATATAATATCCGGATTCGTTGAGACATGAAAATGCCGGATAGATCAATGATCCGGATAACTCACACGGTATCCAGTACCCACCACCACAATACACAATGAGCGACGCGGAGGATAGTCCATGCCGCGTGTGCGGGAAGAATGATCAAGAAGAGCTCCTGGTGTTATGCGATGGTTGCGACGCGCCATTCCATACGTTCTGCCACCACGGATGCATCTGTTGTCAGCAGAAGCCCCGCAACAACTTTGGCAAGTCGTTCCCGGTACCGGACGGCGACTGGTTTTGCAAGCTATGTGCGGGACACATACCTGAATTGAAGCCCAAGCAAGCGCCGCTGTCAAGCGTGTTTGCCTGGGGAGACAACGCGGACGGACAGTTGGGACTCGGCACGGACACGGAAGTCGTGGCGGCGCCAACTGCTGTCCCAGACCTCGCAGGGATTTCCGTGCGAGACATTGCAGTGGGCGAGAGCTCGACCATTGTGTTGTCGAACGAAGGCAACGTGTACACGTCTGGCACAGGCACGTCAGGTCAACTGGGACACCAAGACATCGTGCATGAAAAGCTGACGCGCTTCCGCAAGGTACGTCATACACACCATGCAACTTCGTCGAACTATGCACATGGCACACATATCTCAACATGATGTGTCCATGTCCTCGACTAGGTAGAAGGCCTGGATAAGCGACCCGCCGCGGAAGGCAGGTATGCACCAATGACATCTCCATGTTGCACCTCCCTCGTCCATTGATCCCTTCCATGTGACTTGTTAGACTGGATCGCGTCCTTTCCGGGCGGGAATTCTCGGTCTTGTTGTCGCAAAACGGTCATATCTATACCTGGGGAAACGGCGAAGCGGGGCAATTGGGGCACCAAGAAAACAAACTGAAAAAAACGCCGAAAAAAATTTCGGCGTTGCGCGAGCAAGAGCTGCCAGTTGTATTGGGTACATCTTTTTTTTCGATATTTTTTTTCGTTTTGGCGCGCGAATACTAGGTATATTTTGTAGCGGCGGCGGGCGGCGACTTTATCGTGATGACGTCTGGTGTGGCGAAGGAAGACGACTACTTCCATCGAGCGCTGCCGGGTGTCCTCATGACGGTGGGCGCGAACACCCAAGGGCAGCTTGGAGACGCGTCGTTGAAGAACCAGTGGGTCCCGCAGCTCCTCAATGCGAAGGGACCTGCGACCACCTCGGTGCGTCCCACTCGGTTCCGTGTAGAGAAGCCTGCATGTGTGTGACAATGTTCGTCTTCTTCGTTGCAGGTGGATGGATGCACGGAGGAAGACCCGTCGTCATGTCTTCTGGGCCGCGATATCCGCGCCGTTGCCGCGGGAGCCGCGCATGTGGTCGCAGTGGTGACTGGGTACATGAAATAGAATATGTTATCCGGAAAACAAATCCGGATAAACGTTTGACGGTTTCAATTTTTTTTCAATGTTGTAGCACGGCTGGCGCGTGGTCGTGGGGTATGGGAGAAGCGGGTCAGCTGGGCCACCCCAAGCCGCCGGTCCCCGCAAGCGCCTCCAAGTTCTTCCGTCCGACCTTCCGCGTCCTCCGCCCGCGGTTCATCCAGGCGCTCCGCGACGTCCACGTCACCCATGTGGCGTGCGGTTCGGCGCACACGCTCTTCCTCACCAAAGAGCTGCGTGTGTTTGGCTGCGGAAGCAACAGCCACGGTCAATTGTTGGGCGAAGCGCCGAAGGATGCAGACGAGGTAGCCATCGTGGAAGAACCAAAGGATCTCGAGTGGACACCGCCGTCTGGGTCGGTCCGACAGATTGGCGCGGGGGAGCATCACTCTATCGCGCTCACGACCGATGGCGCAGTGTTTACATGGGGTCGTAACGACAAAGGACAACTGGGACATACTAGTAGTGGCGACGCCAACAGTGCCCGCGTTCCCACCCAAGTTCCCGGTCTGCCCAGCATCGAAACCATCTTCACGGCGTATAACGCGACGTTTGCAGTCGAGTTTGCCCAGGCGGTGGCGCTCCCCAAGGTCGACAAAGCAGCAGCAACGAAGAAGACCAAGGGCAACGCGGTCAAGGCGCCACCTGCCAAACGATCTAAAAAGTAGCCAGGACCTGCCTCCTGATTGGACAGTCGGACGTGTACGGTCGCACGAGGTTGTCGTCATTGATATCTGTAGAACGTATCTTTCGGCTTGGTTGTTGTTCCTTTGTAACTTCAATATGCCCATAAAATGGTGAAATATCGACTCGAAATTCACAATATATCGCTCAAATATTTGGTTACGTCAAAGAAACTTAGTACAGTTCTACCTACTACTCTATTCCATACTTCTATTTAACTTATTTTTTGTAAGCAACTGTAATTTTAATACATACTTACTGTAGTTTGTATACCCATCACATAGAAATACAGTATAATAAAATAGGTCCAAAATAATCAGGATGAAAACCCAGCAACTTGGTTGCCTTGTCGACGCCTTTGTAGGAACGACGAGTTCGCACATTTTCAAGCCATGCCAACACTGTGGCGACCTTACTGGAGGTCAAGGTAGAAAGTAGTATTACTAGTCCGACAGATATCGTGCACGAGTAGAAAGTAGTATTACTAGTCCGACAGGTATTCGTGCACGAGTAGTACTTGTAAAGGGTGCTCTATTTCGAGCGAATATCTCACCTTTCCACAGGGTGCACCTATGAGGCCAGTCTCAAACTGGCTCGTCGCGCGTTCCGTAGCTGCGACGTCCATCGAGCGAGTGCGCCGCCATCCTTCCTTGCCTACATACAACAAATAACTTGGCTCCGTATATGATAATGCGCTGGCGGGGGTACCCTATCGCTTCCTTGTCATTGCCTTGAACAATATCTCGCGTTTTGAAGTGCAATGTGACAGACCACCCAACTTCAAGCGTTACGAGCTTCAATTGGGCCAATCGAATGCCGTCTGGCGTTGAAGATGAGGCAGGGGGACACACGCAATCCTGGTCGACGAACGGCAGACACCAACGAGACCCATGCACGAGTCGCCGGCCGACGCGACGTGGGGGTACTACGACCTCCATTCCACACCCACAGCGTCGCCGTACATGTCTGCGAGGCGCCACTCCCGCCACGAGTCCCCGTCGTCGTCGTTCAAGCAGCACACCCGCGGTAGTCTGTGCTCGCCCCTGCCGCCGCCTCTCCGCACGATCCGCCGCGTGACGTGTCTGCATCAACTGGGCGGTCGATCTCCGAACGAGTCGTTGACGAACTTGGACACGAGCTCAGGAAGCGGCGCGCCGACGTCTTCGACGATGATGATGGTGCCGCCACTTCCCAAACACTCCCCGACGATCCACAAATGGATCAGTCTGCCGCCGCCACCCCCTCCTCCTCCTCCTCCTACCATACACCAATATACACCACAGGTAAGCTTATCGATAGATTCGTAGGATAGCTTGGGCTGTCCATCCATCCCGCAGAACTGTCGCTGCCGTATTTGTGCTGGATTCTGCCATATCTCACGACGCGAACTTCTTCGTAGGTGGAAAGCTCAGTGTATATGCGACACCGTCCTCCAAGTGCGATGGACGGGTCGCCAACGCCGTTGCTGCTGATGGCCAAGATAGGAATCCTGCGACAGAGTCACCGCACCGTCGTCGTGTCGTTGCAGCATCAACATCTGACGTGGCACGCTGTGGACGCGTCCTTTCGGCCTGTACACGGGTGTGTCAAGCACGACCTCGTCCTGACTCCCGGTACCACCTCCGTCCAAGCAGCCAAGAAACACTGGGCCATCACCACCAGTAAGTAGGACACTTTGGCCTATGTACTCGTTCAAGGTAATGGATGATCATGATCCCTGTGTGTGATATCGGTAGAAAACACGTGCGTTCGATTTGACTGCCCTAGCGCCGGAGCATGCGCGGCCTGGGTGCGCACTCTCTTCCGCGTTCTTGATGGACATAGTTCAGCCAGTCCAGTGGACACACATGCATCCTTCCTTGGACCTACTAGTAGCATCATGCCATCAACATCGTCATCGCTCTTGGCGTGGGTGACCACATCCACAGCGCCCATCCGCATCACCACCTCTGTCATCACCCCGCCTCGACGAAGACCCTTGGACGATGACCAACACGACAGCTAACGAAGTACCCGTTTATATCACTGATCTTTCTTTAGTTGGTTAATGATCAACTAACTACGGTAACCGAGACGGGGATTGGAGTTCGTCGTCGGTACTTGTTTATTACTCCGTACTAGTACACCTTTTTGCAGTTAAGTTGGACGAATGCCCGATATATTTGGCCGTGCGCCCGATATATTTGGTGGTGTACCCAATATAATTGGCCATGTGCCCGTTTAATTTGGCACACGGATGTCGTGTGCCCGATATATTTGGCGATGTGCCCGATATAATTAGCCGGGGGCCAAAGAATTGGCAATCTGCCCGATGAATTGTGTCATGTGCCTGATGAAAATGGAAATCACGCAATAAAAAGTCAATTCAATATAGAAATGGTCGTCAATCGACACATGACGCATCGTTGCTGTAACGTCACATACCAACGCCCATGTTGCCCATGGCCTCCGCGCGTCCATCGAGGGTGCGTTCCTTGAGGTAAATCGAAAAATGAGCTCTGCGCGCGACAGATTCAAATTTTGGACGGAGTTGAAGTATGGACGAATCGTTGTTGTAAACTATACTTTATTCAAGTATAAATTTCGAATGATCTTGCCTTCGCGCGTTTTCCTCCGAACTTCAACCACATGATGTTTCCACCAAAACTCATTTGCACTCCATGGAGTATAATTCTTTGAGTTATTCCATTTTCATCAGGCACACGACACAATTCTTCGGGCAGATGGCCAATTACTTGGGCACACGGCTAATTATATCGGGCACATCGCCAAATATATCGGGCGCACGACATCCGTGTGCCAAATTAAACGGGAACATGGCCAATTATATTGGGTACACCACCAAATATATCGGGCGCACGGCCATATATATCAGGGCATTCGTCCAACTTAACTGCAAAAAGGTGTAGTACGTAGTACTATTACACTACAATTCGACGAGACTACAATTACAACAAATGTACGTTTCACCTAAACGAGAATATATGGATCGACATTATTATTGAGATTTCGTTTGAGATGTATTGTCGATTTGAAACAAATTTGGGGAGGGTGCAATCGAATCGCGCCGACCAAACAACCGATCCACAATCGATCTGATTGGTTGAATTTCATTGAGAAGGTTTTGATTGGCTAATAATTTTGAGCTCATCTAAGGTAGCCAATCAAATCGATTTAAATTCCAACGAGAAACCACTCACTCGAAAGCACAATAGTAATCTTGTTTCAGCGTGTGAATACAGTAGAATGAATCATCCCATCTATTAATATCATTGAACACGCCCTTCTAATTCCAGGTACAGTAGTAGTAGAAGAGGACCATCATCCCAGTTACAATAGTTACTACTAACGTTACTATTATACTATTCTACAGTAAGACTACTTACTCCCTCAGCTATACACTAGAATGGGTGGTGTTGTCGTCATCATGAGCTGCTGCAGTCGCCGCTTCTTGGGCAGTGATCTTTTTCAGGTGGGCCTTGCGTTTGACCTTGTGCATCTTTTCTTCAAACGAGAACCCGCACTTTCGATCGAGCAGCGGAATGTGCTTAAGACCTTTGCCGGCTGCAGGTAGCCGGGGCAGAATCTCACCAAACGGCACGTCCGCATCGTACGCCAGCAACGCCGCCATCTACTCGTTAATGCTATCGTTAGTTGCACAGGTAGTGGGTAAGCAACACCGCACATGATTGGCTGTTTGAGGCGTTTGGCGGCGCTGTAGTTCGACGATGGCGCGGTGGGGGTGCACCGGCAAACGTTTAAGCGCGTCCAGTTGGTTTCGCAGCAATGCGGCGCGCAAGTTGGCGGCTTCCCATTGGTTCTCCACGTCATGGTACACTCGGTTCACGGCCCCAGGCATGTACCTACCATGTATATATATATATATTTATCCAGATTTATATAGATATAGTATGATTCGTACCGCAACTCAATCGTGTTGAACGCACACTCGTGGAGCACGAGCGGCAAGTCTGGGGCCATTTCGTACTGTCGTGTCGTCGGGACGAAAACATATATCAGCACCCAATGTATGAAACACGCACCCAAATCGAATGTAGAATGCGCACCCCATCCATAACAAGGCGCACCCCGTTGTCAAAACAAGCACCCAAAAAGGGAAATTCGCACCTGGGGTTTGCGAGGACACGCACCAATGTCGAGCAACGTCGTGACAATTTCGGGGGCTTCGTGGCCCTTGCCGACCAAAAACAGGATCGCCGCCATGCACCGCACTTGGTGCCATAGAAACGCGCGACCTTGCACCTGCATACAAACTCTAGTATTATGACGTGGCACGACGACAAAAGGTACCTCAAAGTAGCACAGGTCGTAGTACGGGTCAACCGACGACACTTGACTCGTGTGAAGTACTCGAAAAGACAGAATTTCTCGCTCAAAGTTGGTCACGGTCGGGTCCATGCGGCAAAAGTTGCGGTAATCATGTTGGCCCTCCAGCAGGCGCGCCGCCGTGGCCATCGCCTGACCAACGATGACGTAATCACATGATGACGTGATCAGGAAAAGGCAGGCTTACGGCAAGGTCGAGGGTCCGGCGATGGAAAAAGTACCGATACGTCCGTCCTTGACACTGAAATCGCGCACTCCACTCGGGCGGCGCCGGCGCCCACGCATACACTCGAATGTCCTACCACATATACAATATATATATATATATAGCAAGGATCCAAATATATATATATATATATATTACAATACATTTCATGAAATGTAGTACATACATGCGGTAAGGCTGAGTTGAGACATGTGGGATAATCCAATTCGACCAGCGTTTTGATGGTTCCGTCGGGCAGTTGCACGCGAAAAGTGTCGCCGGCTTGGATGTCGTCGATGGACTTGCCATCCAAGAGGGTGCCGTCGGCAGGAACGTTGGAGCGAAGCATGAGCCCGATGACTTGGCTCAACGCGCTAGGTCAAAGTGTCAGGATGAGCATGAAGAGACGAAGGATACCTCACGCCGGCGTCCGTGCGGCCGCAGCGGGAGTACCCGCATGTGGAGAAGTTCTCGACGAGTCGGGCGGTGGTCAGTGCATCGATAATGTAGCGCTCAATGGTCTCCTACATGGTCTTAAGCATATCGTGGTGGAATGGATTGTGGCGAGAAGGGCAGGTACTACCTACCTCCATGTGATCTTGCCGAGCAAACCCAGCGTACTTTTCACCCATGTACGAAAACTTGAGAGCGACGTGTCGAGTGCGATACCGTGAAAAGTCGAACGGTTTGTGCGCCTTCTTGTCCGCCTTGTGCTTCTTCTTGGCCGGCTCACCTGACCCGCGCACGATGGGCGTTGACGTAGTGGATGGAGTATGGATGGTGCGTGCGATGGCGTCCATATCGTCCATGGACGAAGGGTGATCATGGCGGTATCGTCGCAGGATTTCCAGAAGGTTGTCCTTGGAGAACGACTCGTACGCCACCGCCGTCGTCGCCGTCGTCGTCGGCGCTGCCATTCGCTTGATGTCTGGAATTGAATGGGCGCCCGTGATTGGTGGACATTCCATCACCGTAAATTAGTGTGTTGGTAGAGAATTTAGCATCTTCGAGCAAAACAAATGTCAAAATTCCCCCAAAAAGTGTACGAATTTTAGGAGATAATTTATTTCCCCGACTATATACGTGACATCTCGTTCCTGTACAACGACCGTGTACCAAGGTCCTAACGATACCAGTAGTTAATGGATAGATATCCTCCTTATGTTGTCATATACTAGTACTCGTACAGTATATCAGCGTCCACTGCATGATCAAGGTCGTTCAGCCCTACCAGTATGACGAAATATAACTATAAATTGAGAAAAATTCAAGTTATGCATTTGTAGAGTTTGTTTCAATTGTCGAAATTCGATTTTCAGAGGTACAGGTATCTATTTTATTATATTTCTCCGTTTGTACATGCCATTTGTATGCCGAATTTACAAAATACGAGAAAAAACATTTGTCCTGGAAGAGGAAGTCAAGTTGAATTGCAATCGCTATCTTCGTCGCGATGCGGCAAAGCAGCACTGCCGCGTCGTCCTTTGGCGGCAACCTCTCGCGAAGCTCGACGTCCTTCTCGCGCCACATCCTCCGTGTGCAACTGCACAAAGCCACGGACTTGGCGGCTGGTGATTTCTCGCTTCTTGGCCGCCGCTCCAGCGATCCGTACGTGGTGTTCACTGTCGGGAAGGAGAAGTACAAGAGCGCGGTGATCTCCAAGACCCTCGCCCCCGTGTGGTCGGACGACGCGGTCTTTGAATTCCACGTCACGGATGGCGACTTGTTCACAAAGGTGTTGGACGTGCAGGTGTTCGACCAGGACAACCGGAGCGACGACCTGCTTGGCACGCTGGCGTTGCCGCTCGCTCAATTCGCGACGCCGCTTCCATTTTCGTCCTCGGCGAGTCCTCATGCAAAGTCGTACTCGATGCAGGTGCCGGCTGCGTTCGCCAAGCAAAAGGTGACGAGCCAGATCTTCCTGACCATCCACTTGATGGCCGACGGCGACCCCGTCGACAACCCGCGACTGTTCATTCCACGTCAATTCAAAGTCACTCTCCACAAAGCCACGGACCTCCCCGCGGCTGATTACGCGCTCTTTGGTAAAGGTATCATACTACTCCTTCTCCCACCCCTTTTCTTCTTGCCCATGGAAATACCTAGGCAAGAGCGACCCGTACGTTGTGTTTGCGATCGGCTCCCAGCGGTTCAAGAGCGATACCATCTCAAAGTGCTTGGACCCTGTGTGGACATCTGCGCCGACGTACGAGTTCGACTTGACACAGGACGACTTGTTCACCCAAGTGCTGGACATTCAAGTGTTCGACTCAGACCACGGACTGAGCGCCGACGACCTCATCGGGACGCTGTCCATTCCCCTAGCACAGTTCGATGTCGTGGATGCCGCGCCGCCACGTATGCGGCCGTACCTGCTCAACGTCCCCGACCAGTACCACAAGCAGAACGTGCATGCGCAGCTCTTCCTCACGCTGGACATGGCTCCCCTTCCATTTTCTGTCGACGAAACGATCGTCGAATCCGTAACCGTACGTGCCTTTCTTTTTTTCCACTTTTTTTCTTCTTTTTTTTTGTATTTGTTCACAGTCAGTGGAACCGAAAAAAAAAAGTGAGCTGTGTTTTTTTTCTTACGTTTTTGTTTTTCACGTTGGAACTTTCGTTTTGTTGCAATCGCAACATGTTGATCGGTGGAAGGGTAGAAGGGAGCAGTGCCGCCCGATTTGGAGGCGTTGATGGAGGCGATGCAAGCAGAGATCGCCGCGCTCAAGCTGTCGAGTCAAGGGATGGTGCAGAAGATGGAGGCTGATATTACACCGACCATCACCGTAGCCTCCTCGTCATCGGATGCACCATCGCAACCTGAACCAGGTACCTTGGATGGGAAGTGTAGTGTAGGGATATGAATGACGTGCACAGTAGAAACGGAGGGAGATGGGAAGAAGCGAGCGCTCGTGAACGAGCTCCACGGGTTACTCAAGATCCCTCCGATCAAGACATTCACCAAGCTGCAAGTGGCGTCCACGTCGGACGGCGCCGCGTTGCAGTGGCAGAACGAAGTCAAGCACCTCAAGACCCAGCTGGAGCAGCAGAAGCGTTTGAACGAGATGCTGGCGGCACAGGACAGTAGTAGTAGATCTGACAAGGACGAAGTCGAACGACTTAAGCACGAAGTCGCCGTGCATAAGGCCACCTTGCAGGCCGTGATGGAGGAACAGATGCTTCGCGACGAGCAGACCCAGAAGGAGCTCAAGATTCTCAAGAGCATCTCGGCCGTCAAGCGCACCTCGTCCGGCGTCACCTCGCCGCCGAGCAGTCCCCGCGCAAAGTCGACATCCGACGGGCGGAAAGACGACGATAGCGAGGATGAGTCATTGTGGCTGTAATCAGGCCTGGGAAACCCATATTAAAGTAGTAGGGAAATCATTTCCCCTTTTTCCCCTATAGGATATTCAAGGAGGAAAAGCCCTGGAAAAAAAGTAGGGTACAGGGCCTTATTCATAATATTTTTCCCTAAGTATAAAATAAAGGTCCGTCACATGAAAGGCGGCTTCTCCACCGTCTGGGCCATGCCATGGATCCATCAAGCTCAGGTAAGCAGAGTGCAGTCAGCTGGGAGCTGAAAAACAGAACTTGTAGGGACTGTCAGCAGCCAGTTTTATGGTGCGTTGACGGTGCATCCTTGTAGTAGAATTCGAAAATCGCGAATAATGGGGTGACAAAAGATTAAAAAGGGCATTATCCAATCAAAACGCTCCCCAACTCGTTCCAAAATCCATTTTTCAAAATGGCATTTCATCCAGTCGAGAGCACTCATTCTCGTAGTACAATCTCATGTCCAGATTGACCAGTTCTTTTGGCTCAGTTGGGAGCGCGTCTACTTTTAGATCACTTTACACCTGATCTAAGTAGGACAAGAACACACCGATGGTCGCTGGTTCAGTCCCAGGTTTCCTCAGGTCCTTGGCATCGACACCAGGAAGCCTAGTTGGCGTCGAGAAGCCAATCAATTGCTACAAAGGCAGTTTTTAACCTACCCGCCCAAAACTAATGCAAATGGGTATACAAAGACTAAGCTTAAAATGGTGCACCTTAAATTGGACCGCTTGTTTTATGATGTTTGTGATGTGAATGATAATGAATTATAACAGGAATCATATCGTATTCACAACTCCCGAGTAGGCCTGGATTTTGGCTTCATGTAACATATTCTAGAATTATAATCTGATACCTTCGAGTCGAGTTACATGCCTTCCACGGCAGCGTCTCGGAAAAAGTGTCCTTAAATTGGACTTTGACGTTAACGATCTTTGTACGACCCACAGAGCACTGGCAATTTCTTCCTTCTGTAGCAGTATATTCGTCTAACGAGCGAATCTATTTACACCAGAGTAAACGAAGGGGATGCATCCGCGTCCTTCTTGGCCGAGGTCAGTTTCAACAATCGTGCAACCAAACGCAAAACGCGCTTGACCAGGGTATTTCATCTTGAGGTAGGTGCTTGTTGGCGCGTATTCGCCGTTGTCAAGGTCAATGTGACCGTTGATATCCGTTTGCTTCCGCCCAACCCAAGCTGGCCAACCTTGACTTCCTTGTGCGTTTCGTCCCACACCACGATTTGTGGTAGCACACAAATTTTCGAAGTCCATACTCGAAGGGACCGGCCCATGCTACGGCGACCAGGACCACATCCCAAGACGAATGCCAAGCTTCCTTGCCCATGCAAGTCTTGCTTTCGCCCATGGCGAATCCACGTCTGTGCTGCCTTGCTTTGAAGCGGCCATACAGGTGACTTGCGGAGCCAGCCGAAGGTACGCACTGTAAACTGCGGATCGAACAATATGCGCTTTTGCCCCCTGAGCGCGATATTGATTCATCTTGTGCGTGGTTTGAGTAACATTCCACCCCGTTTCCATGCAATCAGGAATGAGCACCCGTCCGATGCACGTGGCTATTGTATGCCTCTCCTCGACGACTGCATGTGATGAACTGCGACAGAGCACGGTGTACTGGTTGACGCATGTTTTCTTTGAAGCCAAAGTGGAGCATGATGTCATGGATGGTCCCGCGGTGGTTAACGTTATTCCATTCATGCTGAGGTGGTGATCTGAGGACGTCGACGTAATGGACTACCCAAGCAACACGACGTTGTACAATATGAACAGGCTGCTCTTGTTGTTGTTGTTTGACTTCTTGTAGTTGGTTGACAGCGAGGAGTAGATCATCGGCATCTGTTGGATTAGCTGATCCTTGGGCTGGATCGCTGGATACGATGGGTGATGATTGAGGAAGGGAACAACTGATGGGATGGCATTGAGGTCGCTTCGCCCTCGCGTACTTGACGCTCTGCTTGAGGCCAGTGCCCCATCGTCGCTGTGGCTTTTCAAATACGACCAAGAAAGTGCAGAATTCCGCCAACACTTTTAAAGATCAACAAGATAATTACTCCCAACTTTGACCGGCGTTTCCGACGCTGCGGTGAGAACACCACTGCGAGTGACCGAGAAGACACTTGGTGGGAACCGTGAAATATCCACTTTGGTTGGCTGGGATGTGGAATAATGATCGCAGTGGGTAGAGTGGTAGTAATATTACGTTATGTACCAGCTTTTTTTGAAATTATAGGTGATATTTTATAATTGACTTTCGTAAAAAATCATTATTGTACGTGACCTACGCAGCAAAATATGTCGCAAAAGCGCTCTGCACTATCTCCTCGGTCCATAGAACGAATCTGGCGCTCCAATATAGCTTATGTGGTATGTCGTATCTCCGACATGGAACCATTCGTGTTCAATTGCGTTCACTGAGTCAGAGTCCTTTGATATTGAGACCCAAAAATTATTACAGGCCGCAGTCCATACTGCAGATTGTGCATGTGTAACGTAACATGAGGGAAAGGCGCGATGCGATGCAGGTCAGCGATTCCTCAATGCATACTGCACAATGGGTCACGAAACTCTTCATTCCGCATAACAACAACCAATACTATCTGTCAAGAAGGGGCACTTTGGCCGTTCTTGCTTTGGCCTTTTTCGCCGAGGTTCGGTCACTTACGGATACTATCCGGTCATCCGGAATTATCCGGTGTTCTGACTGTTTTTGCCCAATCATAGGTCAGCTAAACAATCCGTTAATGATCACTTTTGGTTTTGTCCTCGACCACACCAGTGTTCTTCGTCGTCGTTCTTTCTCAGTGCTACCCCCTACATCGTCCCTCTTGACAGGTTATGAGCCTCCTCCCTTCCTCTGTGCAGCCCTTCGTGGGCACCCCACTCGACGACCTCCGGCCTCTGGCCTACACCTTGTGGAAGACGGACTTCTTGTCCCAAGCGACCTCCCGTGACCTTGCTGAGTTCTACTCTACGCTGGACTATGTCCCTCAAGGCAATCGCATCGATGCGCTCAACATCAGCAAGATGTACCTCGAACTCGATCTAGTCGAACACTCCGAGATCTATGTTGTCGACCCGACTCTGTCGGAGACCGATCGTGATGTGCGTCTTGCGGAAATCAAGGCGCACACGACCGCCATCCAACGTGAGGTCATTGCCCGCGAGGCGACCAAGCAACTTGCGAATCAACGCTCTGCGGCGCACACCTTCTTGGTCTCAGCCATTTCTACCAACCTCCGGCGCCTCTATCAGGCCACTACGTGTCCGTTCAAGCTCTTTGAGCACATTAAAACTCGTTTCGAGTCGAACCCCATGGACAACAACCCCTCGGTCATTGCCAGCTATCTACGCACTCTCAAGTTCACCGATGAGAGTTGCATTGACACACTCTCCGTGGAGCTTATTGACTTGGTCAAGCGCTACCGTGTGTCTATGACGCCGCCGTCGTTCAATCCTCTGGATCCATCGGCGATCTCGTCCGTCGACTACCACAACCATATCTGGAATTACTACACTCTGTGTGCGATGTCCGACACCTTTATTGGTGACAAGGAATCACAACCATATCTGGAATTACTACACGCTGTGTGCGATGTCCGACACCTTTATTGGTGACAAGGAATTGTGGGAAGTCATGACCAACTCTGTGGCCACCGCGCGCGCCGCCAACCAGTCCGTTGTCGTTGCTGACGTTTGGGCCTCTCTTCGGCGTATTATTACGAACCGCCTGCAACGAGCTTCTGCTCTGGGTGACAACGGCTCTGCCGCTACCCTCCAAACGCGAACCCAGCTTGCAGCTGTCACGCATGCCGTTGCGGCTCCTGCGCCACCACCTCAAG